ATCCTCCGATTTCAAGGAAAAACAACACCTATTTTGTGTTTCTGGTCATGGTTTGTGTAGGCAATTGTAATCAGTTTAAGTGGTGGGAGGGTCAATTATGCGCAGAACTTTGCTGTTCATTCCTGTGAATAGAGGCCTCCGCTTTACATGAATCTCTCCTATTGGCAAAGACAAGTGAAAATCCATAAGTAGGAGACCCTACCCCGAACCAAAAGATTTATGTCTGCTGGTTTATGTTTCTCCGGGGACTCCCATCTTCTTCCTGTACTCCAGAAACATGCACCTTAAAGTATTTGAAGACTCCAAATTGTCCATGAATGTGTGAATAGTTGTTTGTGTGTCCTGCAATTAGTTGGCAACCAGTTGCGGGCAACTTCTGCCTCTTAACCAAAGTCAGCTAGGCAAGGCACCCACACCTCTAATTTGGAGATGCAATATATAAAATGGATGGATGGATAATTCAAGGTGCAACTAGTAAATGTTCGTTCAAGACAGTCTTAACCAATTAACTCAGATGAACGCTGTTGTTGATGTAAAAGCTCTTATAACTGGGGGCGCCAGACCTTATCATTTTTTTACATTTGTTTTCGTTTCTGTTGTTGTAATCGCCTGCTCTCTAAATATTTTTGTCCATATGGCGTGACTTCACTTTTCTTGAAATCCTCCACTTTCATGATTTAGCATTCCTTAACTCCCCCCTTCTCCTTATTTGCTGCCAGCTTACCTGGCGTCATTACTCAGAAGTCTTAGGAATGCTTGCAGATGTTTCCCCCTGCGTGACGCTGCATAAACATGCAATAGCGATTCGTCTCACTTCCCTCATCGTAATCGTATGCCACATGGATTGTTTGGATTCAAGATAGAAGTCTCTATTGGACCTCACATTGAGCAGTGACTCCATTCTCCTTTCCATGGGGAGTGACACAAAGACGAGCTGACATCATATCAGTACTCCAAGGCTAATCAACGCTGCCGACCCGTTTCTGGGTCTTTAAGTTGATATTGCCGCCTTTCATAGTGCAGCTCATCTCCAGGCAAAGAGTAGAGCGCTGTCAGAACAATCACCATTAAACTTGGCCTCACTAATGTCCCGAGTAACATGAGCACACGAAGAAATGGAATATCATATCATTTCCTCGTCATGATTTTTCCCCATCTGTTGTCAGAGTCCTCTATTTATAACAAGTGCTATCTAACTCCTTATCTAGACAGGTTTAGCGTCTTATCAGGCAGTTTAATGCTTGGATTAATTTCCTTTTCCTGATATGCGAATAGCCTGTGAAGTTACAAAAATCAGTGATGCATGCATTCTTTGAGTAGTATCCTTCACATAAATCCAAGGAAAGAATTTGCCCCCACGAAAATGGATCCTTGGTTTAGCAAAATATTCAACACGAGGCCGATGTGTTTACATTCCCACCTGGACTCGCTATCAACAGAATTCCAGATCTTTTGTCATCTTTTCAAAAAATAAAAAAGGGGTGGGGGGGGGCTAATGTACTCACCCGGAGTATGATTGACAGCTGTTGTCACTCCTTAGAGCTGTGGGATGGCGAGCCATACAGGGATGTCTCTTCATCTCGCAAAACATGTCTGTAATGTATCATCATGACAGGCAGCCCACCATAGCAAAGGCTGCAGACAGTAGCAAGAGTTGCTTGTTAGCTTTTCACTAAAGCCCTGAAGTAGATATTTGCCCTTCTTCTAAGCCCGTGGAATTGCTAGGTTTGTTATTATTATTATTATTATTATTTATGTATTTATTTATTTAAATTTTAGATGATTTCTTTATCCTGTTGCACGTCCCTTGTGCTAAGCAATACCTGACTGGAGCATTTGCTCTTGATTCATTGTTGTTCAAGGCACCATGTCCATTGAGTGGTTGCCGGCCAATCTCAGGGGATTTAGGGTTACATTGTGGATTCGTCTCCACAGGATGCTGAATCTTTCTGACACTGGGCAGGATAGCTCCCTACAATGCCTGGATTGACATGACATTTCTTTGTACCCTGCATAGATTCACAACAGCCAATGCCACATGTCACAAAGCAGTCCCCCAAAACTGTAACGTAGCCTCTTCTATGTATGGTACCACAAGAATGTTACTCATTTTAGGTCAAAACGTTTTGGAGTTTTTTGGGGGTGGGTAAAAATAAACCTGTCATGACCAGTCCCAGAGTGAAAATTATCTTTGGAGCCCCACCCCACGACAGTATTTGCACAAAGACAACATGCGTCGTTTGCCATTTAGTACCCAGTCGGTGTCACTCCATTCTCTACCCAGCTTTAACTATGAGGGGTGTAAACATACCATCACTTGAGCATCAGCAACACCAGACTGATGCACTCGATGTTGATTAATTTCAATCCCAGGCACCCTTTTCTATCTCTTCCTACCCTGGTGCTTATTTGTCCCATGTATGTGCTCCTACCCCGTGACCCTCTCGGCGGGGCCTCATCCATCTCTCCTCCCTCTCTTCCTGTCCCCGTCATGCTCTCTCTTTGTCTGACTCTGTCAGACGCTGCCCCTCTTGCCACATTTCTGCTTGCGCTGGACAAACTGCAGCTTCCCAATGCCCGCAAAAATCCTTTTTCTGACAACTATTTGCTTATGTTTTTGAGAGAAGATATCAATTGTAATTTTTTTCCTGTAGTAAGTCAAGAAAATGTAGTCAAATGTCCATCCATTCATGTTTCCTCATTGTTTTATCTATTTTGGGAGGTCTTATTCCCTCTCCTTGCATCTATGCCTTGCAGTCATTCAGCTTGACATTCTGTGCAGGTTTGTTTTTTATTTCCCCCGCCACTGAATGCTTCTAAATGTCGTGCGTGGCAGTAGAGGACGATCACTGCATACAAAAAAAGAAAAAACTCAATAGTTCAAGCAAATCATATTTGGTAGTGTTGGTCTTGCTTGTCTCTAACATATAATTTTCCACCATTTACTTCACATCACCTGCACAGTCATGTTAGGCAAGTGACTAATCCTTCCAGAAACTGAAAGCAAAATAACTTCCAGTTGCTATCATTTGGTTAAATCCATATTGCCTACATAATTATAAGAAACAGCCTTCTAACCTAACCTCATTCATTCTCAGGAAGTTGGTGTCTATCTCAGATGACTTAGCAGAAGACAAGACTACACCCTGGACTAGTTGCTGGTCCATCATAGCTCGCTTGATTTTCAATAGTGTCAGCCAATCCTGAATTTGAGTACTTGGAATACTCTGCATTCACACAGAATTGGGTGGAGTTCAGTAGCCTTGCTGTACTCGTACAACTGTTCCTCTCCTGGTCTTAACCTGTACCAAGTCTGGATTGAATGGTTTTCATCACGCATAAGGAAAATAGTGACATGCTGTTTCACACACATCAAACTTCGCTTTTCCCATCACATCTCAGTCCGGCCTGAGGCTTCGCTCCCTATTGCTCACACTGTCAAGTTCAATTAGCTCAGCGCTGCTTTGCCCAATGTTCCTTTAGTTCTCTTACAAGAAGCACAGGCTGAGTCATTTGTGCCGTGAGCTGTCAGCGTCTTTGTAAGGTAACACCGGGTCGAGGACCTGAGGGTGAAGGAGTTGAAAATGTCTTCTTTCCGTTGGCTTGTAAAGTCACAGGATAAGTTGGAAATTTGACCCAGACATGTTTTGTTTTGTCAAACCATCTCGACATCTTTCATGTTCCTGCTTCCTCGTCGAAGAATCAAGGTTAATGTAGTCCTACGAGCCTTATGTTGCAAGCAAACCAAACACGAGCTGAGTGTTTCTGGCGACACGTTTCCAATGTAATAATGTGGGAATGCCCGGTAAACTACATAGACAGCTTCCAGTAGCTGCCAGGACCGAGCACAAAAGGTTGGTGGGTACATTGACTTGTTTATAACTGTTGAACTGTCAACCAAGATAGCATTTAGCATTAGCCAAAGCGATAACAGAACCACTGGTCTCCAGATTGACTAGCGATGTTCAAAAAAATTTTATATCATCTGGCGGAGGAGCCCCTCCTCTTCCCAGCTCGAAGGAACCACTGTCTAGTTGCACGGTGAAAAAAAGCATGCGAGACACGCAGCGCTAACCGATATTTCATGCCCGGTGTGAAACTAGCATGATTGCGCAAAATCTATCAAATGAACGTATGTTACAATTAGCACAATTAATAAATTATTTACCCCAATAAATAAATAAATAATGCGCCTTACAACCCAGTGTGCCTTATGTATGAAAAGCTTTTAAAATAGACCAGTTCATTGATATTACGCCAAATTATACGGTGTGCTTAATGGTCCGTAAAATACTGTGTGTATGACACCGAGCAGTACTTCTTGCTGTATTGAACCTGCCCTCTCTGAAGTGTCCTGAAATTATTAGAGTAATAGCTATTATTGTTTTCATGGTACGAATGTAAGTTTCTGCCATATTTGTAAATGTGCTAATTTTTATAGCGAATACTGCCCTGAAGCTTCATTTGGAGAAAAAATAAATAAAATTCTGTCAGAAGAATCACAATTCAATCTTTCGCTGAAATCATTCAGCCCGAGTTCACTTTATTTTCGATAAGCACTATGCCTCTATCTATGAATGCCATAGGAGTTTGTAAATGTGGAAAAATGAAGACATTCATTACAACTTTGCTCTCTGGCTTTGCTCCAATACTTGGAAAATACATCCTTCCCTTGTTTCTACCCCCAAGATTTTATCAAATAAAAAGAAAAGGATGCCCTTTGGACTGATTCCAGATGCCAGTGTTGACTTTACACTACCTCAGTGCGATGGATCTCCAAAATGATTTACGAAACCTTGTCCAGGGAGGAAATGTTCTTGATGTATGGACTGTCTGTCGCCCTTTTCTCTCTGTCTCTCTGCTGACAGCAGTGGCAAAGTTTGCAAAGGAAACAGGAAAGGCCTGAGCCGCTTGGTGTTGGGACGGATATCCTCTTCAGGAGCCGTGACCCCTCCCTTCTCACTTAACTCTCCCTATCTCCTTTTTATCGGGTTTCCCCACCTCCAAACAAGCTGCATTTTATCCACATTTAGCCTCAGAAGGGCTCCGAAGGAGGGAGTTGTGTTCTTCTGTGATTTTCGGATCATTAAACCTGAGCAAACGATGTGTTGGCATGGCGACGAGGAGGATGAGGACAGCTCGGAGGTGATGTTTTGTCAGCTTGTTTGTTGGCTTTGTGTGTTCCTGTAATGGCAAATCGCGCTAGGGCCGGCTGTGATTAACGCTCTGAGTGTTCCTGGTGGGTTGTCTTGGAACGAGCAGACACAGTTCAGTTGAAATTTTGAACACGAAACAAGAGACACTTGTTCACAGGGACCGCTTTGTGACATTTTTCACAAGACGATCATCACGCGTCTGGTCGTTTATACACAAGGATGTAATGTTTATCCATCGTGTGGTCATTGGAAAAAAAATCACTTCAAATAATGATGAACGAAATAAATAGCATCTTTAATTTACATGGCAACCCCTCACCATCCTTTTTGGTGGTCTTTAATATTCAGTGGACCAGTTAGGACATTTCTCATGGTGTGACCTGCAGTTTGAATTGTTACTTTTGTGTCATGCAGTGAGAATAGATGTCTCTTTTTCCTCGTTATAATTGTCTTTTTAATTATCTTTTCCTATTGAGTTCCATAGACATGGTGAAAACCAAACTGAATTGCACCACTTGGTTGCAACGTTGCTGTAGAAAACAAAACTGCTGTTAAAAATGTAATTATCGTTGAGGGGTAAAAGCAAGACAATGATTTGAGGGAAGGTGTTTCTTTCAGTCGATACGGTAGTCAATTAGAGCAGAGGCCACTAATTGAGGGAAGACTGAAGACACTCAATGGCTTGGGTTCTTGTCAAGATTACCACAATGGTTTTAAATATGAAATATTTTTTTCTTTTCCTTTTTTACAATTTTTACTTGCTTTCACTTTTGTCAATTTATTGTTGTATTGTGTTTTATATGTTCAATAAAATTAACAAACAAAACATATACTTTCAGGCCAGTTCAGGAGCAAAAAAACGCCATGCTTTTCTGGCTTTAAACACACGCCAAGTCATTCTACTTATCTGCATTCCTTTTCTCTTGACTTGTCATTCGTACTCTTTTCCTCGAAAATCCCCCATCATTATCTCTCCCTCTCCCTCTCCATCTCCTTCCTTCCATTACACATCGCTGTATCCTGCCCATCATCTTTTCCTCTTCTGGTGAACTCGCCATCAACATCTCCCGCTACCAAATTGGGAGCTCTTGTCTTGTTGTCATATTTTATGATCGCAGCCTCAATTACATCTTTGCTCTCCTTCCCTCCAGAGTGACCCGGGCGGGCTGTCGGTACTGGAGCAACTGGGTCTGGACCAGAACTCTGACTTCTCTGACTCTAGCGTGCAGCAGCTCCTGGATGAGCAGCGCGAGAGGATTCGCCGGGAGATTCGCAAGGAGTTGAAGATTAAAGAAGGAGCCGAGAACCTGCGCAGGGCCACCACGGACAAGAGGAACGCTCAGCAGGTTGGCTTGGCAGCCCAAAAGTCATCAGCATGAAAAATCCTACTTTTTGTGTGGTATAGAGCACAAAACAGATTTGGTTAAAAAAAAATAAAAATCACAAATAGCTAATTTGGTGAAATTCATACATAAACTTCATCTTAACCCGTGAACGTTTTTTTTTTTTTTTTTTTTTTTTTTTGTACGTTAACGTATGCAGTAATTTTGTAAATGTGAAATGTGTCTGCCATGTTTACAAGAGTCTACTTGACTATCCGTTGAGAGAAAGTTCCATTCGGCGTCATGTAATGTCAAACGTGTGATGTTATTATTTATTTATTTATTTACTTTGGCACAGATAGACGAACAACCAATCACACTCACAGTCACACCTAGGCACAATTTCGAGTGCTCACTTAAACTACCATGCATGATTTTTGGAATCTGGGAGAAAACCGGAGTACATATATCGAAAAAAAACACGCAGGCACGGGGAGAACATGTAAACTCTGCACAGGAAAGCCGGAGTCTGGATTCGAACCCTAGACCACTGTACCGTAAGGCTGACCTGAGAAATTCATACATAAACTTCATCTTAACCCGTGAACGTTTTTTTTTTTGTACGTTAACGTCTGCTGTAATTTTGTAAATGTGAAATGTGTATGCCATGTTTACGAGAGTCTACTTGACGATCCGTTGAAAGAAAGTTCCATTCGGCGTCATGTAATGTCAAACGCGTGATGTTACTTTTTTTTTTTTTTTTTTTTTGTACGTTAACGTATGCAGTAATTTTGTAAATGTGAAATGTGTCTGCCATGTTTACAAGAGTCTACTTGACTATCCGTTGAGAGAAAGTTCCATTCGGCGTCATGTAATGTCAAACGTGTGATGTTATTATTTATTTATTTATTTACTTTGGCACAGATAGACGAACAACCAATCACACTCACAGTCACACCTAAGCACAATTTCGAGTGCTCACTTAAACTACCATGCATGATTTTTGGAATCTGGGAGAAAACCGGAGTACATATATAGAAAAAAAACACGCAGGCACGGGGAGAACATGTAAACTCCGCACAGGAAAGCCGGAGTCTGGATTCGAACCTTAGACCTCTGTACTGTAAGGCTGACCTGCTAATCAGTCGGCCGGCGTTTTAAAACTACAGGGGGCAAATTTTTTACTTGACTTGCCCTTTCAGAAAATATTACTTCTATATAGTTATTTTTTTCATGTTCGATTTTTTTCCCCCAGTCTAAAACTGAAGCTTTCACATTTGTCATTTTCTGGGCTGTATATTTTGTTCAAGCCATTTCTTATGCAAGGACTTGACCTGAACTTTAAATATTAGAAAACAAGAATGTGTTTATGAATTACATTTGTACTGCCCCAGTCGGCCCGACGCTAATGAACCTCGGGTGGCCCGACATAGTAACGTAGTGGCCCACCGAGCGGATGTTAGAAATCACAAACTCAATTCCAATGAGACACGTCGCCAAAACAAATTTAGAGAATGACGTGCACTCTATTTGTGACACAGAGTCTATTTGAGTGACTGAGGAAATATGGTAATTACCACTGCTGGAATGATAAATGCTTGTGGTCCAGATAGAGAGAATTTGAAACAACTAAAACTCTCTAACTCTCTTGGTTGAATCATTCAGGTGGACACCCAGCTTCGGAGCTCCAATCGTAGGCTAGATAACCTTCACGCCCAGCTCCAAGAACTGGACGCTCACATTGTAGTGAAAGGAGGAGATGAGAGTAAAGGTAGGCTGTCCTCACGAATACTCTGCACGCTGTGTCAGTTTTACATCAACTCCAACCTTTCTCATGTCCCAGATGAATGTCCTCAATCTCCTGGGGCGGAGAGCAGAACTTCAGCCCACAAGGAGCGCATTGCTGCCCTGGAGAGGCAGCTCAACATTGAGCTCAAAGTCAAGCAAGGAGTTGAGAACATGATCCCCATCTACGCCAATGGCTCCACCAAGGTACTTTACTCAATATTGTTCAGTCATCCATGTATACTCTGGATGTCTGTACACAAAAATAGGAGCCGTTTACAACCGCTTTCACACGCAGAGAGATTCCACAAAGTAGCCGCAGCAGAAACAAAACAGGAAATTGACCATAGCATTTCACAACAAAGGCGGAATATTGCCATACATAGGGGTAGCGTTTATCCTGCATATCATATATCATTAAAAAGTTTGATTGTGACATTGCAAGCGACATTGTTTTCAACAAGACGGGCAGGTAGAAGTGAGGATCAGCACTCAAGCTCTGCCACACACACACACACACAAACTATACACTCACACACTTGCTCATTTGCAGTCGCACACTCTCTCAAATGCACACTCCCTAACATACACACATACAGACATTCACACACTTACACACATGTACTCACAGCCACACTCACGCACACCTCCCCCACATGGTTCATTGTAGAGTTGACCTTCCTGATTCTCAACCTTGGAACCTGCTGACGCTACACTGGAATAGTAATACGACAACGTATAGAATCTCTATCCTCCCTTCTCTAACGCTCGCCACATTGTTACCCTAAATCTGAAAATCTCTTATTTGACTGAGAGTAGGAACGATATGGTGTAAAGGTCTGACCGAGTTTGACCTTCTTGTTTGTGTCATCAGGATAAGAAGATGCTGCAGACTGCCCAGCAGATGCTGCAGGACAGTAAAACCAAAATAGACATCATCCGCATGCAAATCCGCAAAGCTGTGCAGGCCACCGAGCACAACGACGACACACAGGGTAGGTGCAGGTTACCTCTGCCAACGATGCTCGTTTGTCAGCTAGCAGGAGTATACAAAAATAATAACTCAAGTGACTATCACAAAACTTTCTGGAGGAGTGTGATGGAGAAGAACTTATATTTTATTTTGACAAGCATAGCGGTACAAAGGACATGCTCAAACTGACGTATGTCAGAGGTGTCTTGCTCAGATGTTTTGTACGTTATGTGCCCTGGCGGAGGGATCAATGCCATTTCATGGCAAGTGACTCACTTTGTGTCAGGCAATGAGTGCTGTCGACGATTCCTACCCCTCTAATGGAATGAAAAAGGCCCAGTTAATGACTTTGATGAGGTGGTGGATCACAGCTGAACGAATAATCATGAAAACCATGGAATACACCTACAGGAATAGAAAAAGGGCAGAAAATAATAATTTTTCTTTTGCATTTAAATCAGATTCCACTTTTCTGTGAAAACCTTTCTACAAGATGGTAGGGGGCTTATGAGGTGCCGTTGGGACTTGACAAGGTGTCCTTGTGGCTCTCTGTTTCTTTTCAAGTTCATCTCAAAAGTGTTTGACAGGCTTCCTCCAGAGTGCACTCATCCAAGCTTTCCTTTTTGGACTCTGATAACTGAAATGGGCCTTTCAAAAACAGTATCATTCATCCATGCATTCATTGTTCTGCCTGGAAGTATACTGTTAGTCCATGATGATACAATGCAATAAGATTGAGGCATATGACCCAATACTTTTGTCCATGTTGTATTGTCAGTTCTGTCGTCTCATGCTTCAGCTTTTTTTTTTTTAAAGCTTCAATGCTCCCCTTACAGACGTGACGTGAATAAGGGAATTAAGGTGCTCTTCTCCTTCTAACAAGCCAATGTAGCATTCCAATACTTTAGATGTTCTTATTTCAAGGTGAAATTAGATGTCATTGCTTGATGCAATTTATCATGCAATGTCATTGCCATCATGCGATGAATCCAATTGTCTTTTTTTTTCCTTTCATGTCCCTTAAACAAAACAGATTTTCTCGCTTAACATAATGTAGTTATTAGGAATCATAAGCTTTCAGCTAATGACGTCAGCGCTCCCATTTTTCTTCCATGCTGTGCTCCCACATAGATGATCTTAAGTTATTCTGGTTCATTTAAAGCACACACACACACACACACACACACACACACACGGGGTAGGTAGGTTGTGTGTCGAGTGTACACAGACGTCTCCAGGGACCACACCCCCTGGAGGGGTGATCTGCCGGAGTCCATGCTCAAGGCAGACCACCTTATTAGGAGATACAAGCACCCATAAGCCAACTCCACTCCCACTGCTCTTATTAACCCCCAAGCCCCCAACCTTATCACTCATACAACATTTTGAACCGTTCACAAATCAGACCTTTTTAATACTTTGAGATTTTTATCCATGTTCAGCAGCTGGACAAAGTCAATTGCGTTATGCTTTGTTTTTCTCCTCCTATCTTATCCTCTTCATCTTCCACCTCCTTTTCTTCCACTCCCCTTTGTCCCTTATCTGCGCCATGAAGCGCATTACCCACTCTTGAGAGGCCCTGTCTAAGTGGACCACTCAGATGTTGGAGATGAGGATGACCACAGTGTCTAAACGACTGTTTTGCGAATATATTGTTAAAATTTGGCTTTAAAGAGAAAATTATCCTTTGAAAGATTTGAACGTTATGGAGGATGACAAATGTGCAGTTAATAGATTGCAAACAAACCTCCAGGCTCAACTTGTTTCTCTTCCGTGTGCTTCATCTGTGACACTTATTCTTGATGTTATCATCACTTAGCATACCTCCGGGTGAGTGCTTCTCCATTAAAACTATTACCAAACAAGCAAACCAGGACGCTGTTGCCTCAGCATGAACTGTGACGAGACAGAATTCCACTAAAACTTCCTGGATTGGAAATGTAACATGATGTCTCGGATGTCACTCTAGGTAACCACGACATGTGTGGGGTGGAGCTTCGCATCGAGGAGCTGAGGCATCACTACAGGGTGGAACATGCTGTTGCTGAGGGGGCCAAAAACGTGCTTAGGCTCCTGGGGGCCAGCAAGGTTCATGACAAGAAAGCCCTTTCGGAGGTAAAGTTAGCTATTGATGCTTTTGTGTTTCCAAAAGAGGAGGCACCCTTCAGTTTACGATGGTGATATTTTTGACCTGCAACTGACTTTCAGACACATATTTAATGTAAGTCTGACTTTGCTACTGCGTTACAGTAGATTAATAATGACTATGTTGATATAATTTCCCCCAATTCGTGGCACAGTGGTTCAGAATCACCCGTCTCGCAGATTCTGCGCATTTGAGCATACCACAACTCGAAATAACCAAAAAACTGAAATCTTCCTAGTTTGTTGACAATGACGTAAGATGACTTAAAATGATAACCATGGATTTACACTTTTTTTTTTTTTTTTTTAACATTTGATGGCAAGCACTCCAGTGATCCAACCATTTGTATACACACATTTTAAAAAGGTGATTTTCCTTAATATCCCCATTCTCTAAACATAATTTTTAAAGCTGCCTTGCTTCTTTTGTGTGCACAGGCACAGTCTCGACTGAGCGAGGCCTCTCAGCGCTTGGACCTGCTAAGGGATTCTCTGGACCACCGTCTGGCCGAGCTGCCTGAGGACCACCCTAAGGCCAACGTCATCAAAGAGGAGATGGTGCTGTCCTCTTCACCAGCCTTCAGCTCTCGCCATGGCGCCCCCTACATACACAACCAGTACAGCACCCTCAACAAACCCTCACCTCTCACAGGTATGAGACCAGAAACAAGACTCAGTACCACCAGTCACAAGATTTTACTTTAAAACTGGTTCAACCGTGTGTGCAGGGACCTTGCAGGTGCAGCTGCTTGGCTGTGTTGGCTTGTTGGAGTTGGTCCCAGGGCGCAACAAGGGAACTGCTGTCATGTTACCCTGTTACAGCCCTGGAGATACACGGTCTTTCATGAGGGCCAACAAGGGACTCTACGGCCGGAGTGGTTCAGTCAGCGGAAAGACGCCGAGTAAGACGGAGGAGCTCTCTTGTAAGTACAACATAAAAGTTAATTCGAGTCTCGAGGTGACGTGTTTCCTGACCTTTGTTAAGGCAACATACATAAAAATAAAAAAATCTCAAAGCACACCGCCAATCCAAAATGTCACAAAATTTATTTTATAAAAAAAGTATTTTAGGCTAAAAATTTTTTTTTTCTTTGAGGAGCAATTTTGCAAATCAGTGAATTTTAATTTTGGGGAATTGTTAATTAATCCAAGCGATCGGAAACAAGGATTTATAAAGAAATACAAATGTGACAATATAATGAATGAACACTTTTTTTTTTTTTTTTAAAGACCACTTAGGCATTGCGCCTTATTGCGCCTTCCACCTTCTCCCATCTAATGGAAGAGCATTTAATTGTTCTGCCTGTAATCTTACATTGCTGGCATAGCTAGATGTACAAAGACATGTTTGCAATTCATACATCATCAACTTTTGACAAATTAAATGAAATTGGATAATTTCCTACATCACCACAAAGGGTAGTATCTCACGAAACATGTCCCGGCATTCCATTGTACAATAGTTCTTGACAGAACAGTTTAATTGGCTCCAAGACTCACCACAAAATGTATTTGTAGATCAGTATTTCCTACTGAAATGATTTGAAATTCCATTCATCTGTTCCAGCACCCAAACCCACCACATTTTTTGTAGCAGTTGTCCTGGTACCTCTGTAATACGAACAACTGGAAAAACATGAGTTTTTCTTTTTTTTGCCCAAGCATGTTCTTTTGCTATCCCTGCACATTGCCACTGAAGCAAGTCAAAATGCATTACGTTTGCTAACATCAGATGTTGCATCTGGGCAATTTTAATATTGGGTCTATGATTGCGAGACAGGAAATCCTCACATTGGGCTGTCGGTGTTCTCACATCAGAAGTTACTCAACACCTTTTCTTTCCACGGCCACTTTCATCATTCATCTTTCATTATTCTACACATACACTCGAATAACTACCAAACATGCTTTTAAATATCTCCGCAATATTTTAAAATGGGTTTTAATCTTTCACATCTTTGCCAAAAAAAGAGGAGCAATATATCCAACAGATTGACATTTAAGTTTTTCGAGTCTGCCAGGTTTTGGGGAATCTTAAACTCAATAGCATAAACCAAGTGACCAAAAAAACGCTGAATATATAAAATGTGCTAATGCTTGGCCTTGTCAGCTTTTTGTGTAGGGATGTCACCTGCATACTAAATACGCTGTATGTCTACGTGCAGCTGAGGTGAGCGCCGTGCTCAAGCTGGATAACACAGTGGTGGGCCAGACAGCATGGAAAACTGTCGGGGAGCAGGCGTGGGACCAGACATTCACTGTGGAGCTGGAGAGGGTCAGTCACATAAAATTGATATTTAGTCATATGTTGTACTGGGTTAAAAAAAAAAATTGGGCTATTTTAATACAAGCTAAAGTCGGCACATTCAGAGTTTGGGCCCAAGTTATCATCATGTTCATTGAGTAAAAACTGCATGCATTTTCCCTGCATGTTATAGTCGAGGGAGATGGAGATTGCGGTGTACTGGAAGGACTATCGCTCACTGTGTGCTGTGAAGTACCTGAAGCTGGAAGAGTTCCTGGACAACCAGAAGCACAGAGTTCAGCTGGAGCTGGAGCCTCAGGGCCTGCTGTTAGCTGAGGTAGAAAAACATTCATGATGTATGTACTGCAACCTAAACGTTCCGGTGAAGTAAAAATAAAATGTCTTCTAAATTTGGCACCAAACAGAGGGGTGTTAGAAACAATGCTGCAAAATTTGAATGGTTAAATAAAATGCCAAGTGTGTAGTATGAGGCTTCAAAATTATGAAAAATCAAGCCGGTCTCCGCTTGCTTTCCAAGGTGACATTCTTCAATCCAGTTATTGAGAGAGTCCCTCGCCTACAAAGACAAAAGAAGATCTTCTCCAAGCAGCAAGGTGAGAACATCTCTTTGAATTGAATCGATTTTTAGCTGTCCCCACACGCTCATCATTCAGCAATCAATTCAATTTAGCGAGTAGCAACCTCTAGTGGTTACCAATTTTCATTTACAGTGTTTTTGTTTAATGCAACAGATCGCATGGCACTCAGAGGACACTTCATTAGGTACATGTGAATGATCAAAATAGGTCCAACTAAAGAGTTGTATCAAAGATTCCACTTATTTATTTATTTATTTATTTATTTATTTTTATGGCAACTTTTTTTTGATTGACACTGCAAGAGAGGTAGCAATTAACGTGTTTGTGTGTTGTAGCTTCATCAGGCAGTATTTCAATGCGCTGTTAACAATGAGTCGTCATGTCGATGATGACTCCTCAGGACAGGGTGCCCGTGCATTTCAAAAATCTCTACATTTAAGGCCTTAATTATCCCCAACATGGCCTTAATTATTTTTTCCAAATGCCGCACTCCACACAGGAAGATTCAAACCGTTAACCTCTGAACTCTGAGGCAGACGTGCTCACCACTACTTTGGGCAGCCAGTACCATAAAAGAACATTCCCAGTGCTTTAATTTCTAAGAATTGAATGAATTTGATCAGAGCGATGGTCATTTGGTCTTGTAGGAGATGCACTTTGACTGCGCATTTGTGCAACATCCAAAATTTTATTTTAAAAGTCAAGTTCAAAATGTCCAAATGCCTGCAGATACCCGAAAGAACCTTCATCAGCGGCGTGTGTACTTTGTTTATATTTCCAGGCAAGGCGTTCCTTCGAGCTCGCCAAATGAACGTAGACATCGGGACGTGGGTGAGACTTCTCCGAAACGCCATTCCCACTGTCAACAACTCTGGAACTTATAGTCCCAGTGCACACAACATGGCGTTCAATTCTGGGTGAGCCACACGGCACTGGCACGTGCCTGCCACTCATCTACATGTATCCATCAGCAACCCTCGAACCTTTTTTTTTTCCCCTTTTTTTGTTGGAAGCATCCGCCCCCACGTCTAACCTTCCTCTTGTTTGTCTTCTTTCTGTTCATTTGTGCGTCTCCTCCTGCTGACATGCCGCGCATCGCTCTCCCCGGTGTCTCGTTTGGCGCTTTCAGGGAGATCTCCATGGAGAAGCTAAGTCTGGATAGCGACTCGCCGATAAGGGCCGATTACAAACGAGATGCGGACATGCACACACCGGTGAGAGAGAGAGAGGGGGAGGCGGGGGGGGAGGTTTGTGTGTGTGTGTGTCTGGTATGGTTTGGTCCACACAATCTAATAAATGTCATGTAGCATCCGTGTGACATCCAGTGGACAGAATTAGCAACAACAGTAACTTTTATTGAAAAATTGCACTCAACCGTTGGCTCTATTTTAATGATAAACAACAGTAACTTTTATTGAAAAATTGCACTCAACTTGTTTTAATGATTGAGTCAAATGCCTGTCCCTACTCTTTGACAAAATAGACGCAAGGCAAACACGTACACACAAACACCATAAAGGCTCTCATCACGCTTGTGAATGCTCAGGAGACATTGATTAAATATACCCATTTATTTGTATTATTTTCATTTAAATCAGTTTTTACATGGCAGTTCGGTTTAATAGTGGTTAGCACGTCACGGTTCAAATCTCAGTTCAGGTCCTCTTGTGTGGAGTTTGCATGTTCTCCCCATGCTCATGTGGGTTATCCTCCTATATCCCCAAAACATGCATGTTGATTGCAGACTGTTCATTGTCCATAGGTGTGAATGGTAGATGATAGATTGTTCAACACATTTTTGAAAAATGATAACCTCATGCCCTGAGAAAATGCCTCAACAGCCCATGTTTGTGTGTCGCACGCCACGACATTGTTTTCTTGTCTTTTTATGTGCACCCTTGTTGTCTTCTCCTTCATTCCTCTCGTGTTCCCTGCCAGGACCGACCGCCAATCATCGAGCCCTTTACCCCCCCAGACCTCACCCCCGAGTGCCCTGTCCGAACCCCGTCTGTCATCAGGTATGCACTTTTGCATGCCGGAATGCATTATCCAACACACGCCATTTGTAACATACACTGACCGGTTACTTCTTTTGCTGCACAAGCTTCCAAGATCCGGTGTCTGTACTAATGACATGTAATGAAGCACCCAATGTGTTATTTCTAGCAATGAATATAAATGAGTGTCTTGTCAAACCGTCCCTTATGTCTGCAGTAAGCAGAGGAAAGGCCCTCTCTCTCTCCAAGACTTCAGGCTGATAGCCGTGTTGGGCCGAGGCCATTTTGGAAAGGTACACTTACTTGGGGACCTCAGCCTCAACTGTCACAAACCCTTGAATTAAATAACAATTTACATGCCTTGTTTGCAGGTGCTGTTGTCCGAGTACAAAAAGACGGGCACCATGTTTGCTATTAAAGCTCTGAAGAAAGGCGATATTATAGCGCGTGATGAAGTTGAAAGGTATGTTGAACGCATTTCATTGCAGAATCCACTGTTGCCGGACTTTGAATGACGGCCATGTTTTTGTCAATGTATCAAGCACCCAAAAGGTATTGTATTTGGATATATGACATGCATTCAGCCAATTCTGGCAAGGATCAGGAATTATAGTCACGTTACGCATCCACTCGTTTGTGAAATTAATTAGTAGAATGGCTTTTTTCAAAGACCCCTTTTAGAAATTAGATAAAAGATTTACACAGTTAAGACAGGCACTCCAGAGAAAAAGAATTTCCATTCGAGACATTCACAAGTCGGCATTGCATAATATGTCCTTTCTCTTTCTGTCCCTTTTATTTTACTCACTACTCCTGATCCAGCCTGATGTGTGAGAAGCGCATCTTCGAGACGGTCAACATGTCGCAGCACCCCTTCCTGGTCAACTTGTTTGCATGCTTCCAGACTCCAGAGCATGTGTGTTTTGTCATGGAGTACACGGCGGGAGGTGACCTGATGATGCACATCCACACCGACGTCTTCACCGAGCCACGAGCTGTGTACGTAACTAAATATCGCCACACAGCACAATGATTTGCTGCCTTTCAAAGGTATGCCACAGCAAAAAGGAAATTGAAGCTTTGCAGCCAGAGGAGGAGAAATGTATGAATTAGTGCCTTCTACCCAGAACCAGCAAAGCGGTATTTTGCCGCAACTGCGTGCGCTTTCACACAATGACATATCGCAATCAGATAATTAGATGGTGTCAGCATATGCACTATTTTTCCTAATTAAAAAAAAAATACATTTCAATGGGGAAAGATGATTTGATATCTGAGTGTTTTGACTTACAAATGTGGTCATGCAACAAATTGCACTTGTATGTCAAAGCACCACTGTGCTGAGGATTCCATGATATGCCCCTGAAGTGCATGAGTGTAATCATGCATCTTTTGTTGAATTTCAGGTTTTATGCTGCCTGTGTGGTTCTTGGACTTCAGTTTTTACATGACCATAAGATTGTGTACAGGTGAGTGGAACTCACAAAAAAGACACATGCTCACTGCACTGCTTATTATTTGTTGTATATGATTAGATTATAAAATTGGACTTAATTTTGTGAATGATAACGATCATGATCCGAGATTCAGCAAACGTGTTGTTGTAGAGATTTGAAGCTGGACAACCTGCTGCTGGACACAGACGGCTACGTGAAGATTGCCGACTTTGGGCTGTGTAAAGAAGGTGAATATTGATTGGTTCCTGACAGATGGGGGAGCCGGTTTGGATAAGGGTCCCGTGATGCTCATCTTCATCCTGTCACACAGGCATGGGTTACGGGGACCGCACCAGCACGTTCTGTGGGACGCCAGAGTTTTTGGCTCCCGAGGTCCTGACCGATACATCCTACACCAGGGCAGTAGATTGGTGGGGGCTGGGGGTCCTCATTTATGAGATGTTGGTGGGGGAGGTGAGAATCACATTATTTTCACTCGCACATTATTTAGTCTTTCAGCCCTACGTGACGTCATGATATGAACCCTGCTCATTCCGCCTTGTGTTTTTGCAGTCACCGTTCCCAGGGGACGATGAAGAGGAGGTGTTTGACAGCATTGTAAATGACGAAGTCCGCTACCCGCGCTTCCTCTCAACCGAAGCCATTGGTATCATGAGACGGGTGAGGCTACACCCACGCGCGCAAATAAATGTGGCCAAAACTCACTCACACTCGTGACACATATACCGTCTTTGTGCACGTGTGAAACATGAACAGCTGCTAAGGCGGAACCCAGAGAGGCGACTGGGCTCCGGTGAGAAGGATGCAGAGGAGGTGAAGAAGCAGGCTTTCTTCAGGGTGAGACATTTCACTTCTCTTTCGAGCCTACAAAATTACAAAATATAAACAGCAAAAACGAGCACTCAACGGAGCACAGATATGTAACTGACTCAGTATGAAACTGAGTTATAAGCGTAGGCCATAAGTGAAGGCACCACTTTGGGGCTTTCCCGCCCTATTTTGACATCTTAGTGTCATGGAGCTATGTTGAAGTGAGTCAACTCATTCACTGACAGCAATTTTAGAGCATTTTCGAGCAATTTACAGTGGCGCAGCATCAAACCCTCAACTCACCCATCTCCACTGAAAAAGTATAGTCGTCAATGGCAGTGAATTAAGGATCTTCATTTTGAGAAAAGTAGTGCTTTGGTGCCATATCCTAGCCATAAATAAATGACAGGTCTTGGAAACAACAATGAACCACGATAAAGCTGGGGAACGCTGTCAAGTAGATAACTGAAACTTCATTTTGTGCCTATAAAATGGTAATTATAGCAAAGATTTCATTCGTTTTTGATACATCATCTTTTGGTGTTGATTCTAAATCCATGTATATCGGCTCGACCATTTTTATGACAGCTGTATTTCATGGCCACAGGGAGCACTTGGTTATCTGGTTATTGTTTTAATGACATATTTTGTTGAGTGATTTGCACAACACTGTGACCTTTCCTCAATCTTACCCCGTATTAACAAAAAAATACAACTATCAGTAATACCAAAACTAAACTAATACTAAAACTTGATAAGCTGTTCGGATAATGGATGGATGGATAAAAACTGAACTAAAAATGAAACATCTCTCCTCCCACCCTCCAAAAAAAAATCTAAATAAAAATGAACAAACCCGATTGAAGATTTCATGAAAACAAAATGAGTATGAAAAACAAAAGTCAAAACAAAATAAAAACAAACCATAATAAAAAATCCCAAACTATTTAAACCCGGTAGCACACAACAGATAAATAATCACATATCTATTTTATTATTATTATTTTTGTGTGTGTGTCAGAACATGGACTGGGATGCACTGCTGCAGAGGAAGGTGCCTCCTCCTTTCGTCCCCTCCATCGGTGACAAGGAAGACGTCAGCAACTTCGACGAGGAGTTTACCACGGAACAGCCGGCTCTGACGCCTCCACGAGAGCCCCGCGTTCTCACACGCAAGGACCAGGACAGCTTCCTGGACTTTGACTACGTCTCGGACATCTGCTAGTGGCGCGGCAATATTGTTTTGTGGCCCGCGCGCCCTCCCCGTATGATTGTTTCATTAAAACACTGTGAATGAATGTGGGTAACACTGAAGTTAAGTTTTCCACTTCTGTGGGCTTTTATAGGCACAGGCTGAAGGAAGTTGGCTAACTTATTGCCAGGACAAAATACGTAGGAGTCGACTTGCTGCCTCTTGTTACCGATGCCTTACATTTGTATGTACTCGTATCAGACACACGGACCAGCTAAGTTTTTATGTCGGCAAGTCTTTCTGTAGAGCAGCAGGAAGAGTGACGAGACGAGCTGCACGCGTTTTTGCCACTGTTCTTTTGTGTGTGTGTGTGTGTGTGTGTGTTTTTTTTTTTTTTTTTAAGAATCAAGAAAAGATTACCTCCTGTCAAAAGAGTGAATCCACTGACGACAAATTGACGCATTTAGGTCTTACAGGAAGTTGACCACAGGGTAAATAACCACTGTCTTGACGTAAACGCAGTCGACGTCTTCTTATTTATGCTGTACTGATTTTCACGTGACCACTTACCAGCTGCAATTGGTGCAAATGGACTTTTGACAATTGCAATATTCCAAATACCCTGAACATACTTTGTTTTTTGATTGGATGCGTTTGGGGTATGATGATTGCAATAAAACATGGAGTGCGATAAGCACATGCCACAAATATCAGCGCAACATTTTGTATTTCTCATTAAAAAAAATATCCGGTGGTGCCTTGAAGTACAAATGGCTGGACTTGGAAGTTACTTGGAAGAGATATGACATTTGACAGTTTGTTTTGGTTTTATTTTTATTTTTTGGTAGACTTTAGACAGATGCTAGCACTGTGTGGTGCCAGTGAACTCAACTTGCTCTACAATGAGCAGATGCTTATTGTCAAACCAGAGAATTGCACCTTGTGTCTGTAACGACATGGGTACCGGTCTATCTGCATGTTTGTCTGTCTCCAACTGTACCTGTCTACTTGTATTTCTTTCAATGTCATCTCTATATCCAGTATATGCTGCTCTTTCCATGTTTTATGAAAACAGTACACGTCTCTCTCTTTCCTGTTTCACTGCCCGTCAGTTCCTGTCTGTCTGCATGCCTACAGACCTGCATTTACTTGAAAGTCTGACTCTACAACTCATTGTTTTAGGTGCCTGTCTACCGGTACGTCTATCTATACAAAAGTGCCTGTCTACCGGTATGTGTTATCTGTACAACGGTACCCGTCTACCTGTTCACCTGCATGCCCATCTAGCTATAAGATATTACCGGTTTGCCGGTATGTCTGTCTGCACACAACTGCTTGTCTACCTCCATGTCCGTGTGTGCAATCTCAGTGGTTGTCTATCTGCTCGTCCGCGACAATCTATATGGATGTCAACCGTTGATTAACACCCGTCCAACTACACTGGTACCTGTCTATCCACATGACTTTACACACTTAGGTGCATGTCTTGTCTTTCCGATAGTCCTGTCTGTCTGCCTGTCTGTCTGTCGGTGGGTGGGTTTGTGTCAGTCTGCCAAAGGGGGCAGTATCGAGCACTGCTCCATGGGAAGCTCAATTTTTCAAGATGTCGTCGCTGGAACAGAGATTGTCGCGGATCGAGGAGAAACTAAAGCAGGAAAACGAAGAAGCTCGGCGGAGTATGGACCTTAAGATCGACATGAGTCCGCATAGATCCCACGCGAGACCAAGTGAGTGTTAACCGGGATGTCCACAAAGGGACCAGAATAATTGTGGGGTGGGTTGGGGGGGAGAAAAACGCTCGAAAGAGGCGGAGGGTGGGAGTGAAGGAGAACGGCTGTTCCGCTCCTCCTTAGCCGCTGCGTGCTAACCAGCTAGCTACATAAACAAACACCGACGTACGCGTTACGCGGTTTCGTGTCACGCTAACGTGCTTGTATCGTGTTGGGAACGAATACTACCGGGTGTGTAAATTAAGGTTTTCAAGTCTGAGCCGCTGTCAATAAGCATTTAGCCGACAGTCACCTCCAGAATGTGTTTGGGACCTGTGCTGTCAAATATGCTAAGCTAACGTGCTAGAAGGCAGAACGATAGCTGGCGGCAGGCCCGACATAAACCTTAAAATGTTATTTTGTGTCATTTTGCGTGGGTATGTGTACTCTTAGTATATCTTTTCCCTCATAGCACCTGTTTCTTAGTGATTAAGCCTACCGCAAAATCCGACATTACTGTCATTTTTTTTATCCTTGACGAGACGGGGGCGAACAGATTTTAGCTCATCGAATAAACCAGTCACATCTCTGTAATAACATAATAACACGGACGTACTTGCATTGCGTTTTGTTGTCTGTATAATGTAATTTAGGTTAAAAATATTGGCGAAATTACGAGCTAGTTTAAATAGTAATTTCATTTAAGTGTACCTCTATATAATTGTTCTTTTCTTCACTCTACCAAACCGTGTTTTCCCATTTTTTTTCTCTTCGTGCAGTGTTTGTGTGAATTTCTTGTTCCTTGTTAATGCCGAAGTGCACTTGTATCGCCCTTTCTGAAGGGATTCAATATCTAAAGAAAAACATTTCAGATTTATTCAGGACAGTACAGTGACAAGGTTCTGAGACTTGCCATGTACCTGTTTTGAAATATCTGGACTTTTCCCCTTGCCAGGCAGTCAAAGTAAAGATGTAGGACAGAAAATGAATGATGTCACGATGTTGTCTGCACATACTGAAGCAGGCTACACATATTTTATCAGTGTAAGAGACCCCACACGAGTGCGTGTGTACTGCTCTTATAGTTTGGTGTATCCAACACAACACGCCACACTCATACATACTCAATACAGTATTTATAAGCACAATCGCCAACTTTTTTTCCTCTCAACCATGTCTTTTGTAGTACTTCCACTGGCCTGTGGGAGGCAGCATGTTGCCACAGGGCAGCCAGACGGCCTTAAAGTACAAAGAAGAAGCAGTGGCTATGGTACTTTCCTTTCCGATCCAAGTGAGATGATCTGAAGTATTTGGAGGAAAGTTTGCTCAAATGGGAAAAATGCTAAGGAAAGGTGCCTCACAGCAACCTTTAAGCCGTGTTTAACATAGCACCTCCTGGCCAACAAAATGATGTTCGAAGCAAGGGCCAAAACGATATGGATTTTTAAAATCCATTTAAACCGCCCCCCATGATGCAGACTTTCTATAGAGGCACCATTGAGAGCATCTTGACCAGCTGCATCACCGTGTGGTACGCCGCTTGCACGGTGTCCTGCAGAAAGAGTCTGCAGCGCATCGTGAGAGCGGCTGAGAAGATCATTGGTGTCTCTCTTCCTCCACTCGTGGACATTTACAACTCTCGTCTGACCCGCCAAGCCACCCAGATCGCAGGTGACCCCACCCACCCGTCTCACAGCCTCTTCGGCGTGCTGCCGTCGGGGAGGAGGCTGCGATGTCTCTCTACTAAATCCACCAGGCTCAAGAACAGTTTATTCCACCAGGCGGTCAGGGGACTAAACTCCCTCCATGTTTGACTGAAACGTACTTTTCAGTATTTGTTTAACTTTACAAGAGATAAAGTCAAAATCAGCCAATTTTGGTGGGAGGAGGATGTGTGAATGTCATTATCGTTACGTTCCAATGTGTTAATATGTGTTTGTGTGTGGGGGGGGGGGGTTAAAAATGGCAGATATTTGCTGACTTTAATAGATCTAATATCGTCCGATTAAATCATCCATTTGATTAATCGCTCAGGTCCTCATTATCAGCATATCATTTTTTGAAGTCCTTACATTACTGATGTCAGCAACTCTTGATGTCGAGCGATGGTGTATGTGTGGAAAAATGGAATGAATTCACTTAAATATAGCTGTCCTTTGTTATGTTTGCAAAGAAGCACTTTGTCACCTTTCCTTGATCCAATGATATTTTCCCACAAAGGTTAAGAAAAGGTAGCATAGGAGGTCTTTACTATTTTCTAAGTATTGAATAGGTTTAATATTTAGAACTGTCTACCCTGAGCATTTTTGGAGCAGATTGAGAAGGAATGCTCACTCTGAACACGGCCCACACCATACCACACCACAGTATAATCAGTTCGGATCATCTTTTAGAAATATGCGTTGCTGACTTTGATTGGAAGTGGGGGATGCTCGTTTGGCCAGATTGTCATACACTACCTGAAGGATTATTATGAATGCATACATGGACTTCACTACATTTGCCTTCAGTTCCTGTTGGTTTGAAGGACAAAACTACTACCGATTCCATTTTATCTTTCATAAAGTTTCGTTCACGCTTATGAAGTGTTCCATCGTCTATTTGGATGTACCAATACCGCTTAAATGTGTTAAGCTATCACTGCTGTGTTTCACTGTTCTTTACAGGATTTGCTGTATGTCTCTTTCATGAGAGTCTATTTGTAGTATGAGAGAGAGCGTGATTGTGGTAGTAGTTGCAGTATAGTAATGTACGTGTGTGTGTGTGTGTGTTGTATTTTCTTTCCTCCGTCTAGTCATCGTGATCCAGCTCAGTCCTGCTCCAGCTCCTTCCCAGCGTGCAGGTATCATTCAATCCATCGCTCTCTCTGCCATCACACAACATCCTCCTACCCTTCTTATACACCCTCTCAAGGCCACCTACACCATTTACAACCACCACGTTGACCATTAATTCTCCTTCACATTACTTCATCACTTTATATGAGCCTGGTTGCGCTTACTCTCTTTTTTGATCCACTGGTACTAAAAGTTGCCAGACTTCCTCATGTCTAAAAAAATAATCAGCAGATAGGGAACAATTCTTTGAATAAAGAGGCCAAGCGCCTGCTTTGCGCTGTTAATTGTCACTCGAAATTGGAGGTTACTGTCTAGCTGAGCATGAAAGAAAGAAAATGACTCATCTATTTAACAAAGCCATATCATTTTGCTTAAATATGTTTGCTTAATGCTAGCACAAAATGGGTAGCACCATTGAAGGGCTAACAAAAGTAGTATCCATATTTCAGTGGATGTGATTCTTCAAACTGCTTGTACTATTTGAACACAAATGGTCTCGGTATGTAAAGAGACCAAAAAGCATGATGCACGTTTTGCATACCTTATAGAGTGCCTTGAGAACTGTTCCAGTTCCATCTCTTATTGGTTCACACGAAATGAAATCCATTGGAACCTCGATTTACGCACTGTACAAACCTATTGTCATAATAGTCAAAAATAAATCTAAACAGCCTGCCCTTGCGTCCCCTTCTTGCGTTTTAAGCTGTCTTGTGAATAAGCTGTCCTGGCAGCATTATTTACGTTCTCCGTGGAAACGGGTAGCCCACAATGCAACGCTGCTTTCCCACAAAGTGTGGGCCACCCGTTTCTATGGTGAGCAAACTGCCATTTTGCGAAAGAATGTAAACTGTACCGTATGCTAAAAGGCTACGGCGTTTCATTGTCGTTTGCTCGCAAACACACAGAACCGTCAGACAAACGCATCTTTTGTAATCGAATTAATGGGAACTTTCTGATTATCAGCCCAAGTTACAACACTTTAAGGAATGGATATTTGAACACAAGAAAGCCCTGTTTTGAGACACGAGCATAGTCACAGAATGAATTAAACTTGTAAGTCAAGGCACTACTATATCGACATTATTGGGACCACTTCACATCTTTTTCTGTGTGTGCCTTATTGCAGTCTACAGTGGAACTTCTCAGATTGAACAGTCTGTTCCGAAAAAGCCAAAATGCTAGTTAACAGAAATCTTCATAGCCCATGTAATTGAATTAATCCCATTCAATTGTCAAAATGTCATTTTTGTGAATCCTAATAACTGCAAACGGGTATAACAAGAATGATTTGAATCGGAAAATTGGGTTTGATTTCAAAGATGTGGCGTAATCTCATTTAACTGAATTGTTTCCACTGTAAAATGTATCAGATACATACCGAATTGTCTGTTATTGGAGAGCTATATATTCTTGAAGGAAGTGCTGCATTTAGAGTACTGACAAGTTAATTCATATGGATGAAATATGACGACAAGCAACCTGTTGCATCATACACTCGCAACCTGAATCCTACCATATTTGAGCGGTTCCTTTTTTTTTTTAAATTTTAGACAAACGTGGATAATTATTACTATGTTGGCAACTCATTTACTAGATATTTTTATTTTATGACTGATGAATCATCCCCTTGGAAGGATGAGGCCCGTCCTTGACCGCCGATGTATTTATTTTATTTTTTAGTTGGCCCATTGACACCTCCCCTTCAAATCATACCCTCTTTCTATCTTTACATCACTTCTCCTCTCCCTTGTCTGTGCGTCAGAGAGTGGCAGGACAGCATTGGCGTGTACGTGTGTTGTGCGTGCGAAAAGCGGATGTCCGACAAATAACCTAAAATTTTGCTGGAGGAGGAAGATCGCACAGTGCATGCGGCTTTTCTGCACGGCGCATTTTGTTTTTGGGGGGCAGAGTCTGTTTGTGTTTTGACACAGTTTCTAATCCAGCATCCCCCGGAGTGCGGTGAACACTCGTCTTCCTCTCTCGTGTTTGTTTGCCTGTAACTGAAAAGTCCTCTTAACTTCCAGCTGCGCTATGGCCAATGTTACTCCTCACCTGCAGGGGACGGCGCCTGCAACCTTGTCTTTTGTTTGCGTTGTCTTCTCCTTCTTCTGGCTCAGTCTGGCTGTCCAGCCTATGCCCGCAAATCTGGAGCCGGCCAAACTGTGGAGATGCACTCTTACTAACGCTTCTCCCCCTCACTAAGCGGTATTCCTTCAACAGGTTCCTGGAAAAAAAAAAGCACCCGCGGCGTCTTGGTCATGGAGGAAGCCAGCCCTACCAAAACAATTGCTATTTCAGCGATACAGTCATCCCTGGTTATTCACAGATCTAGGGACGGAGTAATTCTATCACAATACAGTATCCAAACCTACAACCGTGATCGATACTCTTTACACGAATGTCATCTTAGAAATAGTAGAACTGCGACAAACACCTTCCAACACCCACAGTTTGTGCCTCCAGTCCGGATACTGCCACATGATCTTACATTCCTACCAAACAATTTTATAATAATTTTAATTTGTGAAGTACCGTACTTTCTGGACTACAAAGTGTACCTGATTAAAAGCCGCAGCAGCTAAATTAAAATGTCCCGCTCCATGCCTCGCAATCGACTCAATTGGGACCGGAGTTGGACACCCCCGATTTCCATCAAAAATACTGCCGTACATAAAATTTCACCTTGACTGTGTGTAAGTGTAAAAAGCAGGATTACAGCAGATGGCATTCATAAAATTTTCTACAATAAAAACAGGCTGGCTTGAAATACAGTACGTCCTGTTTCGTTCTTCTTCTTTCAGATGTACACAATCTCAAACTGTGTCGTCATCTCATGGTCTGTAGTAGAACTGCACTTTTAGATCTAATTAGTTACTGTCCCCCCCAAAAATCTACAGAATAGCGGGACAGCTGGAACCCGCAATGGAACGGGGTTTTCCGTGTCATATATTTTCTCACCAGTGCATCGTGGCACAATGGCAGCTTGAAATGTTTGACAATCAGACCTCTGGTGTGAATGCCCTTAGTGATCATTTCCCCTCTGCACCAGCCCTTCAGCTACCCCTTGCCAACGACGCAGGAAGCCGCTCATCATCTTCAGACAGCTCACCTCAGCACCATCCCTGTCGCCCCAGAAATATGCTCACCCTCCCCACTCCACCGTACGGCCTACAGAAGAGTCTAGAGAAGTATGTGAGCTCGCAAACGCACATTCCTGACCAATATTGTTTTTTTTTTTTTGTTTTGTTTTGTTTTGTTTTTTTGTTTGCTTGCTTTTTTTGGGCCCGTTCCAATATTCAGTAAAATACAATTCTGATAAACCATTCAGGGACCAATTTAGTTCATCAAATAATATATTTAATAAAATAACTTTGTCCCGAAATGGTTACAATAATAAAGATTTGAGATAGAGGCAGAAGATTTAACTGTTTTACATGACTTTGTCCTTTAGAGGTTTTTTTGGGGGATGTGGTGTAGGGGGTTGAATGTCATTATCTGTGTGTTGTGTGTGTAGAACAATAAACAAACAGCAATTAGCAAAAAGGCAGATTTTTGCCATTTTTCAAATGATTAATATTGTCCGATTAATTGGTTAGGCCCTACTTGTAACCTCACGCGATGCATTGACGCGTCCAAATCTTACATTACATTAATGTGGAAGCATTGTATTTGTCTGTATTTGTCCCCACAGTGCAGAGATTGACCAGAAATTGCAAGAGATCATGAAACAAACGGGTTATCTTAAAATTGACGGACAGGTGAGTTAACCGAATGAGAATGACATGTTTTTAACCAAGTCAAGGCAAAACCGAATATAAAAGTTAAGTTCAATCCATTGATAACCGTGCATATTGTCATTCTCCAGAGGTATCCGGCCGAGGTGACAGATTTGATCAATGAGGGGGAGATTGGCAGCGGGACCTGTGGGCAGGTCTTCAAAGTGCGATTCAAGAAAACTGGTCATGTCATTGCAGTCAAAGTAAGAACTTCCTGTACTTCCTATCTTTCCCCCAACTGTCCGTGTTGTTCTATTCCAGACCCGGAGTATAGCCTCCAGGCCCCATTCGCCTCATGCGCAGTTCCCGACCCGCCCTTTCTGTTTTTATTATGTTAAAATTCATTTGACTTTTATTTTGATATGCACGTGCGGATGGTACAAGCCAGCAAGATTTGTCTTCAGTGTCGCCAAATTAGTGACATTGTTGCTGTATGTAGTCACTTTTCCAGCTTAACTAGCGACTTACATCTTTGGATTTTTTTTTTTAATGGCTTGAGCACTTCAAATGCCTCTAAAATCCTCCAAACCAACTAAATTCACTAACTAAATTCACTCAAATAAAAATGCATATTTCTGCGGACCCATTGTACAATTTTCAAAATTATTGGTGTGTTGTACTCTGGAACCACACTCAGCATTGACAGCATTTTTTGGCAAGTCTTGTCGCGGTGCTTAAAAAAAAAGGGGGGGGGCAAGAGGAATTTGCCCTATGTCCTAATTATAACAACATGCTGTATATCTGCAAAAGTAACAAATAATCCGATCTAATCATATATTCATATGGCGCATACAGTAATTGAATTTACCTGAAGAACTGATCAAATTTTTGAAATAGCCCCTTTGGTAAATTAATTGCGCTTTTTTTTTCTTATGCTATGATATTTCTGTTGAATTGTCATCTTTCTATTTTGAAAGCCATCCAAATGTGTGTGTGTTCTTAGCAAATGCGGCGAACAGGAAACAAGGACGAGAACAAGAGGATCCTGATGGACCTGGACGTGGTGCTGAAAAGTCATGACTGTCCTTATATCATTCAGTGCTACGGTGCCATAGTTACCAATGTGGGTATCCTCCAAAGACTACAATGGAACCTCCAAAATAGAACAGAATCCCTTCCGTGACACTGGTTGTCACGTTGTTCTGTAGGAAATAAGGTAAAAAAATTACAGAGGCTTTTGAGGATATACAGAGCGTGCACTAAACTGCGTCGCCATGCGGCACAAAAAGGCACACTCACTTGTTTCCCTACTTAACTGTTTTTCGTTTGAGATTTATGACCTTGAAGGTCTCCCCCAAACAAAACAAATTATCTTCCACTAGAACACAACTAAACTGTGGAGCCACTTTATGTGACATTTTTGTTATTGTGGTGTATAAGACCCCCCCCCCCCAAAAAAAAGTTCCTCGGCTCAATAAAGGTTAGGAAACTCGTTTAGAGAGAGAGGTTTTATTCCTAAATGTATATTTCATATTTTAAGCCACTGTAATTTTTGTATATTTTTTTTTTCTCAAGGAATTTGGGGGGGGGGGGGTTTACTCCACGTTGAAGCACGATGGCTGTGTTTCTCTTTGGTGGTTCCACTCCAACAATAAAACATCATCATTGTGAGTGATGTCCACCAGACTACATGTTCCAATTTTTTATGGGCCTGCTTTTACAGACGGATGTATTTATTGCCATGGAGCTAATGGGAACGTGTGCTGAGAAGCTGAAGAAAAGAATCCAAGGCCCCATCCCAGAACAAATCTTAGGAAAGATGACTGTTGCAGTAAGTGAGCCATTTAAGTAGGGCTGCAACGATTAAATAACTGGAGTAATTCTATGACAAAAAAAGTAAAAGCAACATTTCTGCCGGAAAGCTTTGCTGTGATCATTTTCTTAAAGTAACACACATTTGCAAGTCACAGATACAACAGAGTGATGACAGTCCCAAGTAGACAAAAATAATGCCCGCACCTCAAAAATATGTTGTATAAGTATTGGTGTTGAATAATGCAAAATCAGTTTTTATCTGATCACTCGAATAATTGATTCTTAAAATATTCAATCGCCACAGCCCTATATTCAAAAAAATACATTGCTGCCTTCATTTTGTGGTTTAATCATCACTATGTGTTTCCGATCAAGATAGTGAAAGCCTTGCTGTATTTGAAAGAGAAGCACGGTGTCATCCACCGTGACGTTAAACCCTCCAACATTCTCCTGGATGCGAAAGGTCAGATCAAACTCTGCGACTTTGGTATCAGCGGACGCCTCGTCGACTCCAAGGCAAAGACTCGCAGCGCTGGCTGTGCTGCATACATGGCGGTACGTGGTGACAAATCAAATTATGCAAACCTGTTGACTTAATCCAACGATCTGAATTCACACAAGGTTACATATTTGTATGTTTTTATCCTTGCAGCCCGAGAGAATAGACCCTCCTGATCCCACCAAACCCGACTATGACATCCGAGCGGACGTGTGGAGCCTTGGCATCTCTCTGGTCAGACTCTATTGACAGTCTTACAGATCATTTCAAACCCTTATGATTCAGGACAAATAAGCAAATATGCATCCGTGCATTTTCTGTCGCACTTGCCCGCATTCGGATTCGTGGGTGAGCTGGAGGCTATCCAGCAGATTTTGGGCAGTGTACACCCTGGACTGGTCGCCAGCCAGTAACAGGACAAAGACAACCAACCCTTCAAAGTCCAATTAACATCTACGGACAATCTTTCAATGACCCTAACATGCGGAAAGAACGTGCAGTCTCTACACAGGATTCAAACTCGGGACCTTAGAACTAACTGTGAGGAAAATAAATATATATTTTAAACATTTCTAGAATGAATTTTTGATTGAATGATTGTGACATCTAGGATGGAGATTCATTAGTTAGAAATTGTTTCAAAAAAAAAAATGAGCTTGCTTTATAAATTTAAACTAGGACTTTTATGGTTTGGGCCAAAAAAATACATGATCACATAAGATCGACCTTTGTTCAGGCCAAACACATTTTAGCCATCTGCAAGTGGACTGCAGCCAAAATTCCTCAAATTGCACCTTCATCCAGATTTGCTCCACACTGTAACTGTACAAAGCGCTATGGAAATAATTTGTGTCATGATTTTGTTATCCTGCCAACCATAAAGCAGTTGATGGTCGGATTACTCCCGCTCATTTTTGTTTGCCGCAGGTAAAAGTGTTCAGCAAAAAGCATGTATCTCAGAATTTTCTCATTTAAAAACAAATTGTTCTGAAGCAACAAGAAATACATTTACTAGTGTTGCGGATTAAAAATAAATAAATAAATTCCAAATTTACTTATAAATTATTGTGAACACAGCTTGGGTAATGTCGCAGATGGAACTTGAGAAAAATGAAAGTGATGCAGTTGATGAAACGAACCACTGCAGATGACGGTCAATGCCATCCGGTGTGCGCTAGGTGGAATTGGCTACAGGGCAGTTTCCCTACAAGAACTGCAAGACAGACTTTGAGGTTCTGACCAAAGTGCTGCAGGAAGACCCCCCTCTGCTGCCTCTCAGCATGGGATTCTCCCTCGACTTCCAGTCCTTCGTCAAAGATTGGTGAGCTACACACAAACACACCTACACACAAAATAAACACTCCTATTCACAGGAACCTGTTGTTGTGTCCCCCCACAGCCTCACTAAGGATCACAGAAAAAGGCCAAAATACCACCAGTTGCTGGTAAGTTTTGAATGAGCTACATTTTGGACTGACCTTTTCATGTGTGAAAAAGACTGAATTTACACTTCGTGGTTCAAGTGACAAAATTCAGATTTTTTTTTTTTTTTGTTTGTTTGTTCGTTCGTTCTCCAGTAGAAAATTCGGGATATGTCTCATAACACCATAAATAGAAAAAAACATGGATCCAAACACATCGATCAGTATGGCATATTGTTCAACTCTTGCCCATTTGTGGGTCACTAGTTGAGAGTTTGCATGATTTTCTGTGGAACTTAGCCACATGTCACCAAGTCTTAGCTAATGGGTACGTAATTGGTGTCAAGGAAGTATCATCAAAGTGATCCATTTCATCTCTGAGACTAAGATCTTTGTATGTCCCCGGGGAGTAATCAGAGGATTATTCGTGGAGATTTTTTTTTTAATCGCTGTGTATTTTTTTTTCTTTTGTTAAATCAAATCATCTAGGGTAATATTACCTTCCCTTATTGTAGGAGCACAGCTTCATTCGACGTTACGAGGTGCTGGACGTGGACGTGGCCGGTTGGTTCCAGACGGTGATGGATCGCACCGAGTCGCCTCGGAGCAGTCAGTGTTACAGCCATCATCACCAGCTCCACTCCTCACTCTTTAGCAGGTAGCCCGCAGAGAGCCCCCTCGTCTGCTGTTAGCTCAGCTGTCCTCTCTAATGTAGTCCAGCCTCAGCCTAAAGACGCTAAGCCTAGCCTTAGACTGTGTCCACCGGAGAAGTCCTCAAAGAACAAAATGATGATGATGACGATGACGACAGATATTTGGGGTGCCGGATTTGATGGAGGGAGGGACTGATGGATGGGATAACATATTCAATCTGGACAGGCAGACATGGGAGGGAGGTGCCCACTTGTAGTTAGCTTCATTTGTGCGCAACACTACACTCGTAAATGTGTCGTCACTTTTTAGTCGTCGCTTAGCAACAGGTGTCATCCGTGCCACTGTCACATGTACAGCATGCCACATATGAACACAGTCACGAGTGATCATTCAATTTGAACACTGGAGGAAACAGCATTTATTTCACACGTTTAACGAAAAGTGAGACTTCAGTGAGTATTCTTTTCACGACGCACAGTGAAAAACGTAATGATTTGATTTCATAGCTTGCAGTTGAGGAAAACACCTCAAGTAATCTGACTATCACGTCAACAATCAAATTGTTTCTTAGTGTTGGAATAAGGCTGGATTTGCTGCAGCGTTTAAGGACTCAATCTGGGTTTCACTTTATGAATTGAGCGACTGAAATGAATGACTTTTTCTACAATATTCTATTTCGTTGACATGCCCCTGCATACTAAATATTCTGTTAAGTCTTTTCGTCTACCATACACAGATCATCAGTGATCCCCTCATTTCTAACATCAATTGATCAGCTTTCAAGCGAAGGCGCTCCAATCCACATATGAGCTATGCAATTGGAAGGGAAAACTCAGAAAAACTAATTAGTCTTGTATTCTAAACTTTTTTTTTT